AATGGAATCCAGAAATGTTTTAAGGTTGAAAATGAGGGCTATAAAGAAGGCTAACTATTCAAAACTTGCAATAATGACTGTGAATTGTTTGACTGGGTTAAAAAAGGAAGAAATGAACGATGAGTCGAGTACCATTATGGAAGCAAAAAATCGTACTGTCAACGAAGAAGTCCACGAGTTGTCAAGCATGTTCGGAAGTCTAGCTCGTATAGTCAAGAAACGAAACCTCAAGATTTTGTTGAATGTACATTCCGCAAGGGCAAAGAGCCCTCAGAAGATAATGGCAAAAGGAAAGGGGCCGGCATGATGTGTACTTATATTCCTCGAAAGCACTTTTTCAAATTATGTTGTTATGTTCATAATATCATGAGTAGGAAATAATTATTGTAACTCATCAAATTTCGTTTACAGCTTTTGTTTGCATATATATATTCGAATCAAATTTCAGTTAATTTCCCAAGCAAGGCACTTCCTATAAACACACAGTCCAATGATTTGGGACGTGACAGTAGAAAACTAACGGACAATCTTCATCATGCATAGCCTATACCTTGATCTTGCATAATGATCAAGAAAAGAAAATAAACAAAAAGCCAGTCATAGAAACTGCTGACAAGTATGCTATATTTCGATGTATATGTTTTATCATAGTCTAATTTGAAGTAAACAAATAGCAATTTAAGCTTTACAGATCCAATAGAAGTATGAATGATCCTTAATTGAATTAATTGAATAGAAAGCTTCGATCGATTAAATTATGAAATAAAATGAAAATTAAAACGTCTATATTCTTTTTTTAATCGTTAATCTTAAGAACAGATTCAAGCACCTTGTTATCCATACAAATCATGTCTTGACCAAACTGAAAATATGTAAAACAATTTAGAAGAAAGATTATTAGCGCATTTAGGATGGATTATAGGAAATTCTAAATAGAAATCCGATGATTATCAGATCTACAAGATATAAATAGCTTATTGCTAAATTTTCATCGAATTTAGATCTTCATCCATAAAATTCATGATCAGAAATGGAAAAATATTTTAACAAACTAGAGAATGAAAAGTACAACATTGGAATTCAATACACGAACTATAAGAAGTTAAAAACATGTCCCAAACAAACATATTTATGATCAGCAAACCATCCCAGCCTATTTTGCTTAGCAGAACCCATATTGGCATACAAATAATTGGAATCCACAGTTCATATGATCTTGAGGGATATGTAGATACTTGTGTAGAACCGAACGACCTATTGTACAATATGAACGTAAGTACGTGCATACAAACTAATCGAAGACAAATGTAAAGATTTAAATATGTGTACACCTTGAGAGCTAAATATGAGATTCAATGCCATTGGAGGGACGAAATTTGAGGCTAACAAATCTTGTGGGAAGGCATGACTTTCTGCGTTGCCCTACAATGAATAACAACTCAATTAAAGTTTTGAATAAAAAATCATAATAAACTAAGTATACTAACCAACAATAGTTGCGAGTACGAAATCGGTGTCTGCATAGAATATTGTTAAGATGCTTGCACGATGGGTGTAATAGATGGTATATTACTCTGGTTGGAGATTGTTCTCTTAGTTCTTTTAGTTGAATTCGAAGTAGCCTGCACGTACATACATGTTAAATAGTTATTTTAAAGGAATATTGTTTAAGTTGACATATAACATGACAAACGAACCTTTGCTCTCTTCGAAGAGGACTCCAAGAGGCTTTTTCTCTTAAACTTCTTAGGCGCGCCCTTTCATCTTGTTGATAGAGGATCTCTTATGCTTCCACTGGCATTGTATTCAGATTGATTACATTGCGAGGCTAACTGAATAGTGCCTTGCAAAATAGCATTACTTCCATTACCTGACTTAATTGTAATCAACTCTTTAATCTTCCGTCGTTCATCATACATGACAACCTCCCATAATTTGTACATCGTCCTTGAAGTTCACTCCGTAGCAAATATGATGTTGCAATAAATCTTCCCAGTGAGCTCGACTTGAACTTCCCTGAACTTGAAAATGGTGTAACATTTCTGATATTGCTTTTCCATTTCGAACATTGTTGTACATGGTACCATTTGCGAGTATGATTTGAAGTCGGCTAGGAACTCCTTCTCAACCTTATTTCTCAGTGCCCATTCATATTGTTCGACAAATTGCTTCAACGAGGTCTTCGAATGAACATACCCATCAAAGAACGCATTCATACTCTCACTTCGCTGAATTGTTGCATCCCTGCCCAAAATGTAGTTTTCAAATAGCATGGAACCCAACGACCTCTGTTATCAAATAGTCCTGACAACCAATCCTTACTATGCAACCCGTACGTGTCGAACGTCACCCTTCAACCTTCTTCAAATTCTTCTACGAACTGCGATTCATACACCAATCCATATAGGTATCCAAACTTTTCAAGTAACTTTTTCAGAATATACCACAAACACCATCTATGTTTTGTATTAGGAAAAACAATTTGATTTGCATTTTGCATAGTCCTATCTTGATCAGTAATGATTTCATGGGAAGCTTTTCCATGCATGCACTGAAGCCATGTCCTAAATAACTACAAAAGTATCGGTGTCCTCATTGGACAACAAACCACAACCGAGAAATGTTTATTGTCCATGATGATTAACATCAACAAAAGAGGGCGAAAGGCATATCTACTTACTAGTTAGATAAGTGGTATCAATTGTGACAACGTCGCTGAATTCCTTATACGGTTGCCTAAACCTATTATTTGCCCAAAATATTTCAGCTTAGACTCATCTTCTAAATTCATATTGAAGTAGAATCCCGAGCATTGGGCTTGCATCTTGGAAAAGTAGGATTGTATCGCTGCTGCATCTCCTTTCCCAAGTCTTAGTCGTCTCACTTGTTCAATATAATTTTGGCAATCCTTTTCCACGCAAATCATGTTTTCATATCCACTTGTTTTCAATATATTTTTGTATAATGGAATTTTCGACCATATCCTTCAAGCTTCCATTTCACATGTGAACTTAATACTCAATTGCAGCTATACAACCTCGACTTCGAAGGACTTATTTTATGATTGTGGTCATTGAGGTAGACTTCGAAGGACTTATTCTCCAGATTCCATGAATATCTGAAGATGCAGTAATCCTAGCTTTACAACCTGTCTGAATTATTGGTTGAGGCTTCAAAGAACCGCTTCTATTGGTCCTTCTTTGACCTTCGCAGCTACATGCGATAGTCATATATTTAATTTTCCAATCATCTCTCTTTTTCGAATTCCTTTTCCTAATCGAAAAATCTATATGATATGCATATCCTTTGTCGAAATTCCATAATTCTTTTTCATCCTTGAACATCATACCCACCTCGGCACCTCAGGCACCATCGAACCATCTTCTCCGAACGTTTCATTCCTCATTGATATCATATTGTCCGCAACATTCCCGTCAACATCTATCTCCACCTCAAATCATCACATACGTCTTCCATAGAACTTTGTACTGTAACACAATACAGAAGCTGGTTCAGCAAACCTATTATAGTTGAATAAGTAATTCAAAATGTAATCTCAAGTAATCAAGAACTTCATATATCCCATTGTACAGACAAATTACAATATGAACAAATAAGCAAACGAAACAACAAAAAATGATTCATTGAGTTTGAAGAAAAATCATCATGCAAGCAGAGCTCGCCATATCCAAAGATAATAACTATAATTTCACCAACCCTTTTGTTTTTCAGTTAGTATGTTGAGTCAAGTTTGCAGCACTGGGTAAGCTTTAATGCAATACCTTAATAGCCATTGATGATTTTGGATTTATATTTAACAGGCCTGCCAAATATATGATCAACTCTTTGGTTATCACAGGAAACTTGTTTATGTTATTGAAGTTGAATGCTTTTCATGTAAGTTCCATAAAAAGTTGAGGGAAAGAGGCATGGTTCAACCATTTACAGGTCTTGAGGATGTAAGTGATTAGTATAAATTTATCATCAAAGCATGCCTCGATTTTTATAGTAAAAAGGAACCAAATCACGGGAAAAAAAATCAGCATTATAATTAGAACAACATCAGTGTGGCTCACGTGGGTTTTCCGGAGTTATTGAAATGCCGATTTGGCTGTTGGCGAAGCTGGGCATCAACATCTTCGTCATGGATGAGTATGCTGGGGTTTTCGCCATAGCCGACAGTCGCAACTTCAGATTCGAGGAGATAGGCGGTGGAAATGTACAATAGGATTCCCTGCCAATGACTTCAGATCGGGAAGAAAGGATTCGATGATGTCAATGTATGCGGCGGGTGAAATTTGAGAGGCGGGGGATGTAGTGTGTTAATTCTAGTCAATTTTCTTCTTCATTTAGTAGGTTTTTTTACTGTCCCCAAAGTCACTTAGTTTTAAATTTATGTATGACTTCTGTCAACCAGCTTCCATACTAGAGGCATTTCTTTCGACATTATTGCCAGAATTATTGGGTATCATGTTTTAGGTTGTTAGAAGTGAATCACTTGTTTAATTATTTACTATTTTTATTTTTTGAGACATAAAAGTAAAATACAATAAAAATATTCGAGGCTAAGACCATATTCTCAGTTCTCATTCAGAATACCCAACAGAGTGCGAACTCCTCAACCTGAAAAAAGAGTCGTTCATGATTGAATAATTTGCAATCCCTTTATTTTAAATATATAAATTTTCACCATAAATAAAATCCTATTTGGTATAGTTTAAAAATTGATAAAAATTAAAATTAAAATTAATCACATATTTTATGAATTGACAACTTTTATTAACTTTTTAATCAAATATTTTATAGACTTTTATCATAAAAATCTTTTTTAGATGCGGGGGCAAAAAAGTGTAAATGGTTCAGTGATTTTGTGGTCCTGTCTTATCCAACTCAACTTGGTGGTTCAACGATCTTCGTACAGTTTTGGATTAATCATTCCAAATCGAAAGTTCAAAGTTACCAGCAAAGATCAAGAAAACTATTACAAACCCAGAGCAAAAATGGCTGATAATGAAAACCCAATTCGTTTTGGAATCATGGGATGTGCAGAGATAGCCAGAAAAGTCTATAGAGCCATAAAAATGGCTCCCAATTCCACTCTTCATGCAATTGCGAGTCGTTCAATCGACAAGGCAAGACAATTTGCCGTCAGAAACAATTTATCGAAAGAGGTGAAACTTTATGGGGACTACAATGAATTACTGGATGATCTATTTGTGGATGCTATTTACATGCCATTGCCCACTAGCCTGCATCTAAAATGGGCAGTTTTGGCTGCTCAAAAGGGGAAGCATTTGCTTCTGGAGAAACCCTCTGCGCTTAATGTTAAGGATCTTGATAAAATACTGGAAGCATGTGAATCTAATGGGTTGCAGTTCATGGATGGAAGCATGTGGTATCATCATCCCAGGACTGCGAAAATGAAGGATTTTCTTTCTAATTTGGAGCTATTTGGACAAATCAAAGCTGTAAGTTTATATGCATATTTAATTAGTTGTGATTCGTTTAGCATGGGAATTGTTTACAGTTTGCAAGAGTTGAATTGATTTTCTGGAATGAATCAGGATGACATAATTAAATAACTAAGTTTGTCTCCTCTTTTTAACAGTTTAAGCTTATCAGTGGCCATGAAAATTTGCACGTCTCAGGCCTTTTATGGAAGAAAAATAACAAAATTTACTGTCCTGTCCTGGCCTGTGCCTTATCGGGGTGTTATATGAGGGTACTCTATTTTCCGAGGAGGGAAGACAAAACATTACCTTCTTATGGATTGTAAAAAAAGAATAGATCTATAAGCATTGATATTGAAATTTTACTTGGTAATGACTACTCATATCCTAGTTATCCACAGCTCTGATAGGTGAAAGATTTTCCAACTTAGTTCAAGGTAATTTGAAACTATGGTAGTGGTGATCAAATAACACAGCAGAGTTTACTTGTGCTATTATAGTGATCTTTATTTCAGGGGCCAACATGATACGCGTTGATTATGTACGGTTAATCAATTGACTGCCATGTCTTTTTATTGTTATCAGATCCACAGTTCATCGTCTTATACTGGAACACCTCAGTTTCTTGAAAACGACATTAGAGTAAAACCAGACCTAGATGCCCTTGGTGCACTAGGAGATGCAGGGTGGTACTGCATTGGTGCCATATTATGGTCTATGAACCAAAAACTACCAACAACAGTCACTGCTCTACCTGCCATAGCCCGAAACTCGGCTGGGGTCATCTTATCATGCAGTGCCTCTTTATACTGGAACGAAGAAAAAACTGTAGCAACATTTTACTGTTCCTTAATCTCGCACGAAACCATGGATTTGGCTGTATATGGTTCTAATGGGACACTTCATGTTGAAGATTTTATAATCCCTTATGATGAGCGTTCTGCGACATTTAGCTTTACATCTGGGGCTAAGTTTTTGGATCTTCATATTGGGTGGAATGTTAAACCTCAAGAAGTTCAAGTGGCTTGTCAGTTACCACAGGAGGCGATGATGATTCAAGAGTTTTCGACACTTGTCAAGGGCATAAAAATTTCCAGACTTAGACCAGACTGCAGGTGGTCCAGTTCAACTAGAAGTACACAACTGGTGTTAGATGCAGTAAAGAATTCCATAGATATTGGTTTTAAACCTGTTCAGATGTAAGCAGACATTCTGTAAACTGGTTTTTAAAGCAAATTTCATAACAAAATCTGATGCTAAATATGGTTGAAATGTGCTCTGTCATTAACCTGTATTCGGCTTCGTTTTTTTTTTTTTTTTTGAGATTCTTATTACTTCTATATTATTTTCATATCCAGAACAGATACTAAGAATATGCAAGATCCAGATGTTTAGTCACCGCAGAATTTGGTGAAATTATCGATGCTTTATGAATAGAAAAGGGGAGAACAGAAATTATTCCCCTAAAAAATTGCATTAAGAAACATTTCAAGGAGGCTTCTGCAAATATCTGTACAAGCATAGAACCCATAAGGTTGTCAATGGGGTCTAATTCCTACTTTTTACCTGTATCAAACTATGACAAGATTAGGAAAATTAGTTATCCAGTCACTTGCAACATCTGTGTTGATAGTTGATACAGAACGGTTCTTGATTACCGGTCTGGATCACGGCACTAATAATAGTAGTTCATTACTTCAAATGAGACCGAAAGTAACAATGGCACACTGATGATAAAAAATAACGTAAGAATAGACCAAAAAATGGATTTTGTTAGGTAGACTCTATAAATGTTTACGCCTATTACGAAGATTGTACTTCTTTGTAATTGAATTGGTTTCAAGTGAATTTTCTCCAACTTCCTCTGCAACTACGAAGTCAGGGTCCTCTGATTTGTCTACATCTTCTGGTAACTCACAGTCAACCCATAAAGACCAGTTGATGTCACTTTCCTCATCCATGTCCAATAACGTTTCTTTGTTGCTTTGCAAGCCATTAATCTTGTCCATTAGTGTTAACAGCATCTGATGGTTTAGCATTTCATAGTCTCTGCATAATTTGCAAAATATTTGTTAGACATAATATATAACGCGCATCACATCACCTGAAAAAAACATATAATAGCAATTTCATCTTCTACCTGTATGTGTTAATGGCATACAGAAGTTGGATTGCGGCTAGAACCAGGAAAAGTGATCTAAGAGAGGTTATTATCCATCCCATTTGTTCTATATCATATGTTGCACGGCGAAGTATGATTAACTCGATAACAAATGTGACACATAATCCTGCAAGCAAAAACAACTAGGGAAGTCAAAATGAACTGATATCTTCATGCTTTGCTTCAATTAGATGTGTGATACTTACCTATATAGAGCCTTGGTCGCACATTGTACGTTTGTTTCATACTAGTAAAGATGTAGAGCAAGAGGATTATTGATGAATAAAAGAAGAAAGCTTTAATTGCTCGAGATTCAAGAAGCAAAGCATTATGCAAGGCAAAAAGCTTGTCTATTGCTATGAACATGCTGGCTTGCTTCGATTCAAAAACTTCCTGTAATGGATGGTGAAATTTGAGAAACACTATGAACAAACTCGAATACTTAATTACTTTTAAAGAGGATGTCATTGAAAAATGTCAGACCTGAGCTGCTAATAATGTCTTTGAATTTGCAACTAGGTTATCATGAGCCTGTTGAAGTTGTTCTTGCCGTCGAAGAAGCTCCTCTTGTTGGTTCTTCCCAAATTCGGCCAATTGTTGCAAGGTATCCCTTTTAAATATGAAAATTGTAGTAAGTGCATACGAATTCAATCCAGGTTTTAAAGCTAATATACATTATGATACAACACTTCTCTGTATATTTACCTGTTCTCTTCAAGTGCTTGAGACTGAAATTTAGTAAGAAACTGAAGACCGTCGAGTGCTGCTGTTTGAGCATCCAAAAGTTGTTTTTGTTTATCCAAAGATTTTCCGGTCATATTCTCAATATCGTCAGCTTTATTCTGCAGAGTCGACATTTTTGTAAACATTTCCTCTCCAACTTTACCAATCTCCTTCTCTATTTCTACCGTTTCATCCCTTAAGTTATTTATTTCGATGCCCAAATTATCATAAGAATCATGAAGCATTGATATCCCTGCATCTAGGTCCTCTTTCATTTTCTTTTGACCTTCACTTAACTCTAACTGCGAAGCTGCTATTCCCTTGGATTGTTCATGGACTACCTCTGTGTACTTCTTCACGACATTTACATGATTTTCAACATTTTTTGATGTTTCTGCCACTTGTTGAGTTTGGATGTCAATGGAAGCCAAAGAATTATGAATTTGATTCGAGTTTTGCAATAATTCCTTCCCTCGTTCTTCAATGTTTTCGAGTTTTTCTTCTGTATACTCAGCAGATCTTTTCAATTCGTTTACCAGTCTCTCAGTTTGATGCTTGAAGGCATGAATCCTGCAACATTATTTAAAATATTAACTCAAAAGAGTGGAAAAATAAACAAATCTAGGAAATTTCTTTCCAAGCTTCTAAAGAAAAGGGAAACTTACTGTAATTGATGACAGATTGTATTAATTTGAAGAAAAAACTCTAAGAAAACTTTATGTGAATCATCGCTCAATTTCTGAAGGCATTTCTTCATGGGATTTTTTCTTGAATCACAAGGAGGAAAGGCAGGCCGTCCAGTGTGCTGTTGAAAGCAATCACTGAGATCCCAAGCCAGTTTATGCTTCAGTTCTTCCTCTGCAACAATCTTCGAACATCCTGCAGACAAATCTTGGTACGCATTCAGCGAGCAAGATTTTGATGTACGCATAGCTAGTTTAACACTCTCGATCATATTCATTCCCTTTTCGTCGTTATCTAGTGTTTGAATGGCAAATTCAGCACCAACAGCATTGGAAATCATCTGATTCTTTAAAGGGTCATAAGTTTCTTCATTATTAGAAGAAAACCACCAACCTCCCCATGTTCCATATACTTGTGATAGCAAAATCAAGAACGAAATATACAGATGTTTCATTGCAGAATTCTATTCTTTCAAACAATATAACCTGCAATACACAATATTGCTTAAGTTGAATATATGTTGCTTAATGTGTCTGACTATTTTGTCTTTGTTTTCAGGCTTATAGAACACAATTTTGAGACTTGGCGCACAAGTTATGGCGATGAAGAAAAAAAAAGAGGATAGAAAGTGACATTCTGAACTTTTTCCTCTTATATTCAAATCAGGATCAGGGGTTTCTTATTTCTATATGATTATTTGTAAAGATTCCATATGAAAACGGCTAAAAAAAGCATGTAATTTATATTTTGATGCTCAATCTTCCAAATTTAAATACTTACCTTTTTCTGAACAGATATGCACACCAAATAATTTGGATGGGAAAAACAAAGTAAAAGAATGGTATCCGTTTAAGGAAATAAACTGTCGTCATAATTTGGCGGGTGGCGTTTCAGTTTCCGTTACAGAAAGGTGTCTTTTTGAATCCAAGGGTCATCTAATTTACATTTTTTTTCCTTATTTTTAAAAATACATAAATAATAATTTTTTTTTTCAAAAATATAAATAATCAGAACTTTTTTTCTTTATTTTTATTATTAGGATTTAGGGTTGCTTATTATAAGTTAAAAAGAACGGGCCAAATCCAAAAGAACATGGCCCTACAAAAGTTCAAGTCCAAGTTCAAACCCAAACCCAAATCCAAGCCTATTTAATAATTGAATTGAACGAAGTTACGAAAATGACGGACTTGGAGTTAGTAATCACGATTATGGCTGGGAGGCACGTCCAAGAAATGTTTATAAGTTTAAATTATAAATAACTAGAAATTAATTTGGATGAGTGGATAGTATTTGAGGATTTATCTAATATGTGAATAAAATTGGCTCTAAACTTACAGAAATCATGACAAATTTCTCGTGATGTCCATTTTCTCTATTTCATCCTTGCCCATCCTCCAAAAAAAAAAAAAAAGAAATCGTGGATTTGTTTCTTGATTGAACTTGAAGGAATCAAATGCCTTGTTTACATGTCCAATTTACCATAATGGTTTTAGATGGGTATTACATACTGAATTATTATGTAACATGCTAAAATTTAGATCGAGTTTAAGAATTTTTAGTTTACAAGAGGATATTGTAATTGAATTACTTATACTTCCATGTTTCAAATGCATAGAGAATTCAAGCATGTATAACTTAGATATATAAATCTTCTACACAATTTTAAAGATTCGATATGATGGACAGATTCTCAAACATTACAAGTATCTTTTAGAAGTTCAAAACTTAGGCTCAGCTACCATTGGGATCACCGTTAATTTCTTGTGATGACAAACATTCCATTCAAAGGATTTGATTACTTTTTAAAACTAATTAGAATATGATTTTGTTAACAATTAACACACAAGTATTTGCCGATAGGAACATCGTATGAAAGCAAAAAATCCCTTTCGCTTCCTACATTGATTTCTTCAAATTTTTTTATAGTTATAATTTGTAGAGTTCGGCTCTGGAATTTGATCTTCGAGTTTGTGTTAACTGTCAGGTTTGGACTTTTCGGAGGCATTGAGTGTGAAGTTGAGGCCGGTGAATTTGTTGATATTGAATTGTAAGAGTAAAAGATTTAGGGATTTGCGGTGGAGAAGTAAGATCGAATTTTTTGGAGCCTATCAAAGCAATGGATGCTTCCAATACGACTTCAGACATCAATGGTGGTTGCAATGCTATCGATATTTGTCATAGTCTTCTCTTTCTTGCAGCTCATCCATAAAATTTGGTTCATAAGCATGACCCAGCACAATATCATTGTCACTTATCATGTCGGATCCATCCTCTGCTTCAATAGCCTGATTTGCCTCTTCAGTAGAAACCACATTGGATACGTAATTCGCCTTGGTGTGATTTCCATTTACTAGAGAAATTTCATCAGTAGGTATAGGAATCTCCAACAGCTCATTTGCCTTTGGCAAGAGATAGCTAGAATTATTCTAGCCATGGCGGTGACCATAGCGATGATGATGTGCAGTGGGATTTTGATTTAGTTTGGGTTGATGTATTGAAATGAGGGGGATACGGGTAGGGGTAGACGTGGGGAGGTTGAGGTAGAGGTGTCACGACGGACGAGCCGACCAGACCCGTGAAAATCGGCTCGGATCGATCCGGGACCGCGAGCTGACCCGTGACCCGAGCGGCGGTT